ATAAGTTCACCAAAAATAGTTCTCATTTGCATTACAGAATTTCCTGTAAATGAGAACAAAGTAATATACATTCATTCTAGAAAACAGAGATAATCCATTAGAAGAAAACATCTCCCATAATTTCACCCCATATTATTGATATGTTGCTATATTTCTCTCTAGTACTTTTTTAAAAACATAGATATATGTCTGACTTTTTTTCTCCTTCCTCCTTTTTCTCATTTTTTCCAAATCACCATTAGACATGAAAATGAAACCAGAAACAGAAAAAGTGGCTACACCCAAGAGCAGAATCCACTTATAATGAAACAGTTTACTCTCAAAGTAAAGCTGTTTTTACTTTGGCAATTCGTTGGATTTTTTTTTTTTCCAGTCCTGGGGATTGAACCCAGAGAGCACAGAGCTATATTCCCCTCACTTTTGTATTTTTAAAATTTTGTGACAGTGTCTCCTAAATTGCTAGCCTTGAACTTGTGATCCTCCTACTGCAGCCCTTAGAGTAGCCTGGATTATGGGTGTGCACCACCATGGCCAATAAATAAATTGATTGTATTTTTTAAATTAATTTTTAAGAATTCTTGTATAGAAAGGTGATCAGCCCTTCACCTGAGGGATGAGTGGCAAATATTTTGCTCACTCTCCCAGTTGTCATTTTTAAGTGCTTCACAACTTTTTTATTGCAGTTGATCACATTTATGAAAACACAAAGTTGTAAATAGTAATACAAAAAGGCAACTATCTCAAAGCAAGGTAGATCATCAGAATCTCTTAAAAACAGTATTATTATTGCTGCACACCACTATTGTACAAAGAAATAATTAATTCTTTAAAAAATTAAGGGATAATGGGCCAGGGATTTAGCTCAGTGGCACCGTGCCTGCCTCGCAAGCGCAAGGTCCTGAGTTCGATCCCTGGTACCACAAAAAAAATAAAATAAAATAAAATAAAAACTAAGGCATAATTTACCATGATGAAATGCTTAAATGTTCAATTTTTTAAAGTTTGGCAGTAATTTTCACCTGTGCAAATGTCACCTACAACAAAATTTGGAGATCACTACAGAAGAGTGCCCTTTATAGTCAGTTACCCAAAGTCCTCCAAATGGCCATCCATTTTCTGATTTGTCACTATAGATGAGTTTTTCCTTGCTTTTGAACTTTATGTATTTTGGAAACATTACAGAATATACTCTTGTACTTAGCTTATTTCATTCAAGCATGATGTTTTGGGGATTCATTCATGTTTCTTTTTGCAAGCATTAGCAGTTCATTTTTTAGCGTGGAGTAGCATTCTATTACATGAAGAATCATTATTTGTTCATCCAAAGACTTGTTAATGGACACTAGTGTTGTTTTCAACTAGAGATAGGAGTATTTGTGAGTGATTTGATGTGTTTTCATTTTTCTGAGTAAATACCTAGGAATTTTGAGGTTATAGAGTAAGTCTATATGTATAAGACATTTCACCAGGGTTTTCCAAAATTATTGTTAGCATCAGTAGTTGAAGAAGTAGTACGTGAGAGACAACACTTGGTATTATCCAGCTTTCTAATTTTAACTGTTTTGGGAATGTGTATTGGTAGCTCATTGCAATTTTAAATTTGTATTTCTCTTTTGATTATTGATGATTAGCATCTTTTCATATGCTTTTTCATGTCTTCCATAAATCTTCATTTATGAAGTTATCTGTTCTTTGTTAGCAAATTGTGTATCTTTCTAATATTGAGTTTTATATTCTAGAAACAAATCTTTTATTAGGTGTAGTCTTTCCATTTGTTTAAGGTGTCTTTAGAAGAGTAGATATTGTTAATTTTGGTGGTCTAGACTATCAGTATCTTGCTTTATGATTAGTGTTTATTATATCCTAAGAAATATTTGCCCACAATAGGTTAATGATTTATCTGTTATGCTTTTTCTAGATGTGTTATAGTCTTAGATTTTAGGCTTATATCTATAATGCATGTAATATTTTTATACAGGAATTTTTTCAATTTTTGTGATGCAAAGGTTGAGGTCCATTTTTTTTTCCAGTTCAGACATACAGTTGTACAAAGACAATTCTTTCCGCATTGAACCTAGAGACCTTTGTTCAAAGAAAATCAACTGACCATATAAGTATATAAGTCCACTTAACCACAACATTGTCTTGATTATTGTAGCATTATAATATGTATTAAATTAGATCATATAAGTCTTCCAATTTTGTTCTTTTTCAAGATCATTTTGTCTACTCTATGTTCTTTGTATTTCCCTATAAATTTAAGAATCAGCTTACCCACTTCTATAAAAATATCTTCTGGGATTTTCAATGAGCCAAGTTGATCAGTTTTGGGAAAATAAATATCTTACCAATATTGGTAGTATGCTCCATTTATTACATTCCGATTATTTTGTCTCAGGAATGTTTTATTGCTATATATAGCATGTGATCCCTTGTGTGAACTCCAGAGTTGAGTATTCTAAAATAATCTGTGTTTTATTAAATCACATTAAATATGTAAATTAATTCAGAGATAACTGATATTTGTATACGATCCAAAAGAATGTTATATCTTTCTTTGACTTCAACGGCTTCTTTCTGTCCATTAGTGGTATTTTTAAAACTTCTTTTAAGTTTTTAAACTACTGTTTAATTTGTTTCCAGGTATTTTATCCTTCTTTTCACTATAGTATGTGGGGACATTTTTTCATTGCATCTTCTAACTAGTTGTTGTATATGTTTATATATATTAGAGCTATTAATTTCTATGTTTTAATTGGGTACCCCAGTATCTTTTTTATTCTCACATTAATTTTTTAGTTAATTCTCCATGATTTTGCAGGTGCACAATTGGATTATCTGCAAATGATGATAATTTTACTTTTGTCCTCCCATTTTGAAGGGTTGAATTTTCTCTTTCCTTCTGCTATTAAATTACATTGACTAACACATTGAGTAAACTGCTAAAGCATGAGGAGGTAGTTGGTATTTCTGTCTTTATTGGAATGTTCCTGGTGTCTCCTTATTAAGCATTTCAGGCTGAGTTAAATATTACTTTGTTAAGAAATTTTTCTTTGAATGTTCTATTATTTATATTCTAAAATCAAAAATAGCTACTGAATTTTGGCAAATGTCTTTTCAGTAATTAAGGAGATTATCTTATTTTTTTGCTAATCCATTAATATTATTGTGATTGTTATATTAAAGGATCTATTAATGAATCATTATTGAATTTTTCAAATAAACTTTACTTGGTTATGATGACTTTTTTTCATTAAGTTTATTGGTACATTTTAGATATACAATACAGTTACATTCATCACTGAGATCTTGTACCTGTACATGATGTATCCTGGTTCTTATTTTTTCCCCATTCCCCTGCCTTCCCTTCACTCCCTCTTCCCTTCCCTATTTACAAAGACTTTGTTTCCATGTTTTTCCTTTTCTCATATTTTTTCTTTTCCCTTCTTTCCTTTCCCCTACCCCTCCCATGTCCCCTACTCCTTTAGATGTTTTCTTCCTATTTCACAATGTCAATTATACATTTTGATCCTTATTTAAACTTTTAGTTTTTCACACCAGAGAAACTATTCGGTATGTACACGTGTGTCCTATTTATTTCACTCAAGAGTATGGGCTCAGTATGCATCCATTTAGCTGTAAATGTCTCTAGTTTCTCATTCTTTATGGCTGAGTAATACTCCATTTTATGAAAAAAACCACATCTTCTTTATCCAGTCTCCAGTGGATGGGCAATTGGGCTGTTTCCAAGTCTTAACTATTAAAAATTGTACTGCTATGAACATGGGTGCACATATATCACTGTGGTATGATTCTTTTAATTCTTTGGGGAAAATACCCAGCATAAGAATAGCTGGGTCAAATGGGACTTCTAATCCTAGTTGATGATGACTTATTTTTAATGTGTTGCTGGATTTTATTTGTTAGTGTATAATTTGGGGATTTGCATCATCATTCATAAGTGATCTTGGCTTGTAGTATTTGTTTTGTTTTATTTAATGTGGTTTTGTATGAACATGCATACTTGCTTCCCTTGTAATTCTTTTTTTTTTTTTTTTTTGGTATCGGGGATTGAACTTGGGTCCTTGTGCTTGCGAGGCAGGCAGCAGAACCACTGAGCTAAATCCCCGGCCCTCCCTTGTAATTCTTAAATAATAGTTTTAGTCATTAATTTCTGCTCTTGAGTTTACTTAGTTCCTCATTCAGATTTTCATGTTGTTTTTCTAAAATTTTGCATGAGATGTATGTTCATTGCTTATCATTTTATCATATTTATTGAAATAAACATTTGAAGGTCTGAATTTTATGCTCAGTGCTGGATTAGTGCATCCCATAGCCTTTTATTTAGTTTTTAAAGTACTGTCATTTCCTAGAAACCATGCAATTTAATGTATGCATTTCTTATTTTACTGAAGAGTTACTAGCAAGTTCTATATTTTTCAGGCAGAGGAGCCTCTTATGTTTTAGATTTCTGTTTTATACTATGATCAGAGAATATTGTTCATGGTATTATCTTTTTAAGCCTTCTCGGAGTTTTCTTAATATTAAATTTCTATGAATGTTATACGAGGGTTTGAAGTGAAGGTATGTTCTCCACTTAGAGATAGAGTATTAAAAATACATCAACAGCTCTACCTCGTGAGGTGCATCATGTAGAACTTCTGTATTTCTGGTCTGCTAGATCTATCGTAATGCGTTAGCCCCTCCCATAACAGTGTATTTCCACTTGCCCCAATCTTTGTTTTATGTCTGGTTTTTTGGTATTTGATACGTAAGTATTTATAAATATATTTTTATTGTAAACATCACCATTTTAGATCCATATAATATGTTTCCTTGCCCTTACAAATGTTTTTTGGCAATAACTTTATCTTATTTGATATTTAAAATTACAATTTCTATTTCCATTTTGTCTGCCTTTATTTGGATTCCTCCTTTCCTCTTTTATTTTCCTTAATTACCTCTTTAAATGACTGTCTTGGCCCCTTTCTCATCACTAGGACACAACACCGGACACCCACACCCTGAAGGAGGAGACTTTATTTTGGCTCGCGGTTTGAGTCCACAGTAGGCTGGTTCCAAGGCTGGACCGACGGCGTAAAAAGGTCTGGTGGAGAAAAGCTGCCTACATCAGGGCAGCCAGGAAGGGGAGCCGCAAGGGAGGAGCTGGCGAGGGAGATGGGCCCTTCCGGGGTACACCCCAGTGGCCTCTCCCACCACGTCTCTCCTGCCCGCAGCACACTCCGTTCTGAACTCATGGAAGAACTGATCCACCGTTGAGTGGAGATTGAAGATCCAGTCACTTTTCCCACACATGAGGAATTCAGGGGACATTTTAGGTCTAAACCATAAGAGTGATTTTGTTTAAAGTATGCCCCTTGCAAAAGAATCTGGAATTAGGTTTTACTTTTTGTTATCCAATTTGAAATTCTTTTTAAAAAGGAAAATTAAACCCATCAAAAAACTAATCATTTTTGTTTATGTGAAATTATGTGATGCTTTTTTGAAATAAATCTCTTAGTAATGGCATATACATTGCTTCTTCTATAAAATTCTTTTGCTATTTAGGAATCTTTCATTTGTGTTCTTATAGTTACTTTTTACTTGTACAATGCTTAATCCTTCATTTTTTTTGAGTAATATCTATTTAATTAGATATGATGAGCAGTAATGAAAATCACATTCCTTCTTTTCTTCCCTTTCTCTACCCCGCACTTGAATTTATGCAGTGTATCTTTTGGTAGTGTTCAGGGTGTTTTGTTTTGTTTTGAGACAGGGTCTTGCTATGTAGTTCAAGCTGGCCTTGAACATACAATATAGCCCAGGCTGGCCTTGAACTCATGGTGATTCTCCTGCTTCAGCTTCCCAAATGGTGGGATCATAGGCATGCGCCACCCCATCCTTGGCTAGTATTTAGTTTTACTGCTACATACGCCTATATTTTTGTTTTGGTACCGGGGATTGAACTCGGGACCTTGCATTTGTAAGGCAGGCACCAGAACCACTGAGCTAAATCTCTGGCCCCACATATGCCTATATTTTAAGATTTATTACTTTTAAATGTTATCAGTTTTGTGTGTGTGTGTGTGTGTGTGTGTGTGTGTGTGTGTGTGTGCAGTATTACGGATTGAACCGAGGGGCCCTCTACTGCTGGGTTACCTCCTCAACCTTTTTTATTTTTATTTTGAGACAGAGTATTGATAAGTTGTCCAAGTGGGATTTGAATTTAGGATCTCTCCTGCCTCAGCCTCCCCCGTATTGGGATGACAGATATGTGCTGCCACACCTGACTTCAAACGTTTATCTACTTCAGATGTGACAGTCAACAACTTCTCTTGCTCCAACCTTCTTTCCCCTTTGCTTTTCCATATTCCAGGTACCTTACTTCTACACTGCCCTGAAAAATAATATTTGTATTCTCTTGCCTTGTTATTATTGACATTTGTTTAGTTTTAGTTCTACAGTTGAATTAGCCAACATTTACCTGTAGTTTTTGTCAGTGTTTCTCCTGGTATCTCTTGTTTATCTGAAATCTGTTTTGCTGGCTTTTGTTCATGTATAGAGCATTCCTTGAGCTGTTCTTTGCTCACTCCGATTTGTATATCCCCCTACTGTAGTCACTTTTTCACCACGGAGACATACCGGATATCCACAGTTTAAAGGAGGGGAGATTTATTTTGGCCCGTGTGTTTCAGGGGTTTCAGTCCGCTGTCGGCTGGCTCTGAGGCAGACAGGGCACGGTGGATGGAGCTGGTGGAGGAAAAGCTGCTCAAGTCATGGCGGCCAGGAGGCAGGGAGAGAAGGAGGCTGTTCCAGGGGGATGTGCACCCTTCCACTTCACAGTCCCCAGCAGCCCACCTCTTCCTTCTAGGCCCCACCTCCTAACACCAAGTCAGCTGCAGTCTCCCCATAACAGTCACCTTCCAACACAGGAGGGTGTAGGGGGGCGGTCTCGGCCTAAACTAACCCTTTCCATGAGAAAGTCAGCCTGGCTGGGTATGACACTCGCCACACTTTGCTCCTCGGGAAGCCTGTAGGAATCGCTCCATTATCACTTGGTCCTCAATGTCATGGTGGAGATACCTGTGGCCCTCTGTGAGCGGCTCGGGGTTTTTTTTTTTTGCTTGTCCATCATAGGGTATTTTATCTTTAAAACTCAGTTTCTTTTCCAATTCAGGATAGCTTTTCGTAAATGTGCACTATGCCTTTTTTATAGGTATATTCAATTGGCATATTTCCATAGTTTTTTTTGCAATCATATCTTTAAATGTTTGTCATTGTCATTGTCTTGATCTTATTCTTCGAAGAAACCATGGAATCACGCATGATTTTGAATCACTTTGGCCTGTTACCAGTATCTCATAGTCTAGTTAATATTTTAACTCTATTTCCACTTTATTTTGTTTGCTTTTATAATTTCTATTTTCTATGTTCCTTACTTGGCTTTCTGCAGTTTCTTAAGTTGCTTATAGTTTTATCTTTATTTTTCTGTAGTTCATCCTTTTCTTCTAATTCTTTCTAGAATCCTGTAAGCCTGTCTCATCAGCTCTTCTTCGAATTCTTGCATTTCTATGCTGTGACCTTCCATCACTAGGGTGATTGCTTCTTAGACTTTGAAAGTTGAATAAATTGTTACAGTTTTTACCTGCTTTGTACAAAAATATCTTTTGGGGGTTGTTTTTTGGTAAATGTTACTGTTCTTTTTAGGATTTTAGGAATAAAGTCTCCGTATTGATGCTACAGTGCTTTTCCTCGTTGGTGTCTCCCCCTGCATCCACTTCCTCCTTCTTTTCCTGTCTCTTCTCCTCCTTCTCTCTCTCTCTTTAGCTCCCTTCTCCCATCACCCTTCTTATCTTCCCTTTTCTGCCCTCTTCTCCTGCTCCTCCTCCTCCTCCTCCTCCTTCTCTGCCTTCCTCTTCTTCCCTCTTGTCATCATTGAACTGCTTGATTTCCCAGGTCAGTACATGCAGGAGCTCCAAGTGTGTACACAGGGAAGGAGGAGCAGGGCCCGAGCTGAGCCAGCCTTGCTTCCAGCTGTCTTCATAACCCACAGACTTTCTCTTTTTCTGCTCTCATAATGCCAGGCTATTAAATTTAATTGTGCTGTGTGATTTCTTGGGAAACACCATCTTCTTTGCTTCAAGGAAGCACCCTGAATCCCGAAGGGCTTCTGCCTCCAATTTCATGCAACTCCAGTCCCATGTCCACTGTTGCCCAAGAGGTAGAGGATCTACTTCAGGGATCTGAAGGATAGGCAGAGGATCTACTTCACAGATCTGAAGGCTAGGGAGAGGATCTACTTCACAGATCTGAAGGCTAGGGAGAGGATCTACTTCAGGGAAAGGCCCAACTTCCCGGTGGCTGTGATTTCTGGAGTCCTTCAGCGCTCTGTCCTTCCACCCGGCCACTCTTGCTGCAGCTTCTGCGTCCCCTGCTCCTCTGGCAGCCTTTCCTGATATTTTGTAGCCCGCAGACTATCTGCCTTCATGTTTTGATGAAAATGGAATGTGTGCACTTTTAAACATTGTTGCGGCTTTTGAAAGATTTTTGCGAGAAGGGAAAAACAGGCTGAATGGAAGGGGTCTTGCTCACACCAGTGTCTTCTCTGTGAGTGCAGTCAGCCTCCACATCGTGGCAGAGTCTGATGTCGCACAATGAGTACCCGCCAGTTTACCACCAGGAGTGCGGGGCTCAGTTTTTATTGGGAATCTGTAGATGAAGCTTGGAGGATTAATTTATAAAGTAAGGTAAAATAAAATCTAAACATCATAAACCGCAATAATATAAATGTTTTTGGCACACATTCATATTTGAAATAGAGTGTTGAAGGGAGGGTAAATACAGGAATCTGAAAGTCCTCTCGCCTGTGGTGAAGTCCAGGGTTATGGGCTGCTGCAGCACAGAGGAACAAAGCTCGTAACCCCCTGGGAGGTAGTCTCTGTCCGGGCAGCGACTCTCTCCACACCACCATTGCCCATGGGAAAGGAATAAAGTGTCTACACTGATGACTAAATGGTAAAAACACAGAAGGGCAAATGTATTAATTAAAGTTACAATGACAAATCACAAAAAAACCCTAGAAACAAAATTTTTAAAAATTTTTTTATTGGTACATTTTAGGTATACAATACATTTACATTTATCATTGGGTGCTTGTACCTGTACATGATGCATCTTGGTTCTTATTTTTTCCCCATTATCTGTGCACCCTTCACCCCCTCCACCCTTCCCTATTTACATAGATTTCGTTTCCATTTTTTTTTCTCATAATTTTTCCTTCCCTTCTTCCCTTTCCCCTTCCCCTCCCACCATCCCTACCCCTTTGGACCTTTTCCTATTTCAGATTATCTATTATTCATTTTAATCCTTATTTACACTTTCAGTTTCTCACACCAGAGAAACTATTCAGTATTTACACATGTGTGTCCTGTTTATTTCACTTAAGAGTATGGCATCCATTTAGCAATAAATGTCTCTAGTTTCTCATTCTTTATGGCTGAGTAGTACTCCATTTTATAAAAAAAACCCCACATTTTCTTTATCCAGTCTCTAGTTGATGGGCACTTGGGCTGTTTCCAAGCTTTTGCTATTACAAACTGTGCTGCTATGAACATGGGTGCGCATATATCACTGTGGTATGATTCTTTTAATTCTTTGGGGAAGATCCCCAGCAGGGGAATAGCTGGGTCAAATGGGACCTCTAGTCCTAGTTCTTTGAGGTATCTCCATGCTGATTTCCACAGTGGTTGCACCAGTCTGCACTCCCACCAACAATGGAAAAGGGTCCCTTTCTCCCTACTCCCCACCAGCATTTGTTTTTGGTTGATTTCTTGATAGCAGCCATTCTTTCTGGAGTGAGGTGGAATCTCAGTGTTGTTTCCATCTGCATCTCTTGAATGACCAGTGATGTTGAACACTTTTTCATATGTTTATTTGCTGCTTTTACTTCTTTGTCTGAGAAATGTCTGTTCATTTCAGATGCCCATTTTTGAATTGGGTCTTTGAATTTGGGGGGTCTGATTATTTTCAATTCTTTATATATTCTCGATAGTAGCCCTTTGTCTGAGTTACAGCTGCTAAACATTTTTTCCCACATTGTAGGTTGTCTGTTAGCTCTGTTGGTGGTTTCTCTTGCAGTGCAGAAGCTTTTTAATAAGATGAGATCCCAGTTGTTGATTCTTTCTGCTAGTTCCCGTGCTACTGAGGTTTTGTCCATGAAGTCTTTTTCTATGCCAATGTCTTCAAGAGTTCTACCTAACTTATCTTCCAGCAAGTTTAGTGTTTCTGTCTTAATATTTAGATCTTTAATCCACTTTGATCTTAGTTTAGTGCATGGTGATAGGTATGGGTCTAGTTTTAATCTTTGGCAGGTTGAAATCCAGTTTTTCCAGCACCATTTATTAAAGAGGCTATCTTTCCTCCAGTGAGGGTGGTTGGCTCCTTTGTCAAAGA